AGGTTGTCCAGGAAAGATGCTGACAGCTGAGGGCCGTTCGCTGGTAGCTCATGAAGCAGCCAGCCTAATTTAAACACCTTCCTTCCTTCCTGAGGATGTGTGTGGGTCACAGAGCATCCACTACCTGGCAGCTCCTGGAGCCAAACCCACCCCTGTGGGTTTGTACAAGCTCAGAATTTCCCTCTGCAAATGCCAGGAGTTATCAGGAGTTATCCTTTATCAGATTATTGCAAAATAAGACTGAGTCTTATTTTTTCTCTTCCCCCCCCCGCCTTTTTTTGTGGGAAATCTGTTAAGTCTTCCAGCCATGACTACCAAAGCTTTCTGCTCTTAAAAGGGAACATTCTAGAAACAAGTCTCAATGAATTCTATTCCCAGCACCTGCATTAGACTGATTTAGAATATATGCTATAACTGGGATGAATCTCTTCACAATAAATTTTTTAAAAGATTTATTTATGTATGCATACAGAACTGGGGTATAGGCCAGAGGTGCAGGGGCGGTGAGAGGATTCACCAGAGACAGAGTGCAGAACAGAACAGGCAGATCTATTGAAATATGCTGCTGAGGGGAGCAGTGGGCAGGTCAGGAGAGGTCTGTTGCACCATGTAGATCACTCTGGGGCTGGGGATCAAACTCCTGCTCAAGTGGCTTTAGCTTCTTAGTGCTGTGCTTTAACCAGTTGCACCATCAGGGAGGACCCCGTGATAAATTTTTTTAAAAACCAGACACAGAAGTACACATCTATATATTCAGTTTACATGAAATGTCCAGAATAAGAGACATGGACTGGGAGCAGCTGCTTAAGGCCTATGGAGTGCCCTTTGGGGAATGTTTGCAGTTGGGCAGATAAAGGGTTTGTATAAAACTGTAAGGTGCTAAATGCCACTGAACAGTTCATTTAAAAATGGTTAGTCAGGTGAATGTGATGACCACTGCTATGGTTAGCAGGCATGTAAGGGAACAGGATATATATATATATATAGTAATTGTATGAAGTAAAAACAAACATCAATTCACAATTATAAACCAGACATTCTGTAGGGGAGAAGAGAGGAACAGGATCAAAACTGGGGTGGGGAGAGAGCATGGGACTGTGGTGATGGCACATGGGTGAATTGGTGGGGGGAAGTCCACGGGGATCACAATGGAGATGGAAAAATGTACAAAATGAAGAATGATATAAAAAATATACATGTATAAAATAAAAATAAATAAATAAAAATGGTTAGTGTTTTACATATCAATGTCATTTAAACTGTTAAAAATGACCTTTCGGACCCTCCCTGGTGGCACCATAGGTTAAAGCACAGCACTGAGAACCTAAAGCCACTTCCCCATGAGTTCCATCTCCACCTGCACTGGAGATCCACATGGCGCGGCAGACCTCTCCTGACCACCTGCTGCTCCCCTCAGCAGTCGGCCTGTTCTGCTCCCCACTCTGTCTCTGGTGAATCCTCTCATCACCCCTGCACCTCTGGCCTATACCCCAGTTCTGTATGCATAGCTAAATAAATCTTTTTAAAAAACGACCTTTCATAAACCCCTCCTGTGTGAGCAGTCTGTTATATGAAAATCAGCCCTTATCTGTGGGAGTCCTCACTGGTGAGTCACTGGAAGATCTCAAAATGTTGTCACTGTGTCCTCAGGTTCATTTAGAATTAACAAGGCAAGTTATGTAGTGCTATCCGCATTTAAATCAAGCATCTTACTCAAGTAGCTGACAAGACATAGATTCAACACAGTGTCTAAGTTAAGCAACTCATTTACATGTGGGAGTTAACTTCTGTTTTCAAGTAAAGACTATTTTCCTTCTAAAGGAAATTGAAGTATGATTCAAATTCCTTAAATATAGTTAAAACAGGCCCTCCCTGGTGGCACAGCGGGTTAAAGCACAGCACTGAGAAGCTAATGC